CATAGAAGCGCCATGATTGGAGAAGAATGTCTTCCATACGGGCTGCAAGCTAGATAACAGTTGAGACGCCAGGGGAGGGGTGACAGCTATTTGAGGTAGGTTGGGGGTCCTGATACAGACCCCCATAGGTCTTGGTCAGAACAAATAAGGCAAGCCTCAACTGGAATTTGGAAACGAATGAATCTTCAAGACAGGACCGTGTCTCGCTTAAAAACACGTGAGTGGTCGTAGATGTATGACCCTCCGAGAGATGGTGTCGTTGTCTGTGGGTGTTCCGTGTTATTCGCCAGCCGTTCTCTTGATGGCGGCTTGACATGAGAGGTAAGGAGCCAATCAGATGCCAGAAACCCCTGCGCACTCGAGCAAGACCCTTGTCACTATGCCTGCTACTCGCTGCGATTGGAGAGCAGAATGCTGCGATCGAAACTGCCCGTTGCAGGATGGGAGGGGCAGAGGGGCTTGTTGGAAAGGAGTCTTGAACTATTTCCAATCTTCCAAGGGTCCCAATATCAAAGCTTTGTTCTCCTGGCTCCTATCCAGGAGGTGTTTCCATTTCGTCCCGGAGCCAGGTGATTGATGGCATATGGCGGTCAGAGAGAGCCAAAGCAATGGCTGCGCACGCCAGGGTTCTGGGCAACTGCGTACTGGTACTTGGCTCTGCCAGACGAGTGACTTTGCAGGGGTTTGGCGTCATCGATTGATGATCTCAGTAACTCGGTTTTTTATTTTCCGTGGAAGCAAACGGGAAGTGGTGCGCCACTGACCACGGTGTGCATCGCTCAGTGCCGACACCGCCACGGTTTTTGTGCCACGTCAGTGGGAGAGGCGGCTCTCGTGTGGCGGAGTCTGCCTTGACCCACAAATCTACTGTCCCCAACCCGCAAGAACAGCAAGTTTCAACAATATCTGCCATTGGTACGATAAGGTCTGCGTAAGAAATGACTGCATATGCACGACTGGTTTGACAGTCGTTCAGCTTGTCAAGGTTCCGCGAGTTGAGGGCGCCCCAACACCCGCTACTAGTTCTCCCCAAGACCGAAGAACAACGCATCGGTGAGTGAGTGGCTGAGCTGTAGGGCTGATACATTGAATAGTTTGGCTATTTTGACAATGAGCTTGACTAAACCACAGCAAATTGGACAATGAGCTTAAATATGAGAAAAAGAAAGGAAAATTAGAGGTCCATTGTTCAACGGTTGGGCTGGCCTTGGCAGCCAACAATGTCGCCACCTGTGTACTAAGCTGGCCAACATCCAACTTTCAACGGTTGTCGGCCTAGAGACTCTGAGTCACAAGACACCTTGCGTGCTCCATTAACCTGGTTGGCGAGGGCCTTCGTCATGGCCTTCAATTGCTCGCGTGGATGTACGTCAGTCGAAAACAGACCAGATCGCCGCTGAGTAATATACCGAGATTCCTTGCGTGGATTGTACATATCTCTGTCTGGCCGTTGTTGGCAGAGAGGTTATGGATGTCTCCGACTGCACGGAACAGGCGAGACATGCACCAGAGGGTCGCAACTGCGTAAGCTTCTTGTTAGAGGCAGGGGGCTTGGTGGTGTGTAATTAGTGGGGCCCGTCTTCCCCAGCCGACCAGGAGGGTGTAACCGAGACATAGCCGGGGGTGCGATTGGTGCAAATTCAGCGGGCCTGGCAAATCAGAAGGCGGGAGTTTAGCGGGTTCCGGGGGCTAGGTGGCGCAGGCGAATCAGAGCCCGAGAAAATGCCAGGACGCAGTGGTGAGCTCATGGACGCAGCGATGGCTGCCACCTGCCTTCAGCGGGCGGCAAGACGCCTCGAGAGTACCTGCCCTCCTTGCCTCCAAAGGAAAGGTGCAGCAAAGAGGCAGGTAAACTCGCGACTAGTTTTGCCCTGCGCGTATCAAATTACGAGACCTTGCCTCTCTTGATCCCTTCGCACACCATCAATCTTCCTAGCTAAGTAAATGTCCTCCAATGAGTCTGCGCTGTGGACAGGGGTCAGTATTAGCCGCCTACCCGCTCATGGGTGATATGTTGGCCGGTCGCTTTCGCTCTGGCGATCGTCAATTCAAGTCCTGAAGGACAAGCGCGATTTTTAGCGGCTGAGGCAGGTATCCCATCCTCCCGTGTGTGATAGCTGCACCCTGCTCGCAGCTGCTCATCTTTCCTAAGATTACGCGGGCAGGGCAGGGCCTCATCTTGATGACTGACTGTGCCATAGTCTGGCTGGATTACAGTGTCTGCCGCTTGTCTTCGGCCGCTGGAGTTTTCGAACGATGCCGTCCTCGTATTCCTTTCCTCGATTTGTGGTTGCAATGGCGACGTGAACTTGGAAGCCACCCGCTCGCCCACCCCATCACGGCACCAGATAGGTGACTTGAGTGAGGTAAGCGCCGGGCAAGACGTGTGGGTTGGTGGGTCGGTGCTGATCCTGCCTCTTGAGCTCACCTGCAGCCAGGTACGGCAGAGATTGGCCTCTCGGAGAAGCTGCAGAGAGACAATGTCTAAGACACACATATGCAATCTACGGAAGCGTTGGATCGCCCACATCGTGACAAGCAACAACTGGGCAACCTAGTCTTGAACTGGAAACCCTTCTGTTTCGGTGCATGCGACATATCACACGCGCAGCACATGTCCTGGGGGAGTTTTTCTCGTCCTCGTGCGCCTCGTGGTTCTGACGGTTGGTGTCGCGTGAACCCGAGACCAGCAGCCGTTTGTACGCGAGCGAGGACTGGAAAGCCCTTGGCCTGCCCCTGGGCACGCCGCCAGCCAACCACTGCGTGAGGCGACGAGAAGACGGCCAAGGAATAGAGTGCCAGTAGCTTACAGAAAAGGATGTTAAACTACGAAGCACGGACAATACAGGATGGCATCGAGTCCACCTACCGTTGGCGGCTCGAGCCTAAGACGATCCACCCCGTCCACGGCTGGTCTGTGCAGTTCAGTTGAGTGGGCAATCGATCCTGGGAAGTCTCCCAGTCGCAGATTCCTACTGAGCTGAGATAAAAAGATTTCCAAACTACCGACAAATGGTCTGATCGTCCACCAGTCCAAAGGGGAATAGCATCGCATGTGTGGTCGTCTCTGCCTCACAAGAGGCGCAGCGAGGGAAAAATGCAACCATTCGGCAACCCCACCAACGCTTTTGCCAGGGCCAATGCTGGGGCGACATCGGCTCCCGACCAAGGGCAGACTGCATATCCCGTCAGGGTTCTGCGCCCAATCGAAGCCGCAGTCCCGCCAGGCGTTATACTGTTGGATGGTTCATTCTGCACCTCCTGGCGTGCGCGAGCTGCTGTCGGCCGCAGACGTCCTGATCCGCACACTTTTGCATGCCTGCTCCACAGCGCAGTTGGGTCCATTCTCCACGGATGGCCTGGATGGATCACTCGCCCTACAATGTCGACTAAGACAACCCTGTCTGAAGTAGACGGCCCAATTGTGAGGCCTACACCGGCGACCACCGTCGTTGAGCTTGCTCATCGCTGGCCAGACTCCGCGCGTTGCATCGCCATACCCTAACACATGCAGCCAATCTAAATGCCGCCTAAGCTCTTACTCGCCATCGCGGAAGTACCCATACCTGGTGGTGTCCGGGGGAATACTTTGCTTCTCGTCTTGACTCCCTGCCAGTGGCCAAGCCAACATCTCCTAAATAGTAGCACTTGCCATAGATCTCTTTTGTTATCTGTCTTGATTCCCTCCCCCCTTCTTCTTCATTCGGTCTCATGTTAAACCTACTCGCTTATTCTATATATTCACCATTCTAATATTCTTCCCGGGACTCGTATTATCACATCCCCCTGTTCCCATTCTTTTCTCCTCTCTTCTCTCCTCCCGCGGCCGGTCCCAGTCGCCACTACGGAGTACTGACCAGCTGCATCTGTCACCTCCAGGCGAGCGCCCATCACACGGGATAACAATAGCAAAGGTACTGCCCGATCCCCTCCCCTGCACCAAAACTTCAGTTTTAGACGCGGGCTCTTTTCGCCATCCCACCCTCCATCATCTAGAGCCATCTCGACTCGGGCTAGTTCGTCGGTACAAGCTTACTTGTACCTTCAACAACGATTTTAGCCCCCGTCCTCCATGCAAAACAACCCCTCCACACCCATCGTTCTTTCACGGCGCAAACAATATCACATATGCCCAACTATCACCTCCCTCCCAACTTGGTTAAATTTCCTCAACTCGTTTCAGCTGGAACTTTCGAACCTTTCCTGTCACATCTCTCTTTGAAATGTTTTCAGCCTCAAGCTAGCTGGGGGGAATATTTGCTTACCCACTCTTTTATGATATAGAAGCCGGCCGCAACCCGCCCACAACCTACCGCGTTCTTGTACCATTGTACGCCCGGACGAAGGTCGACCAACTACAAAAAATAGTATGTTGATTTGGATTGACAGTAGTCACTGTTGCCTTCGTCTGGCTTTCTTTGGAATTGTGCGGGAGTTGACTGAGCAACGAAGTTTCTAGGCCCAGACATTGTTGGATTGGATCATGGTATTGAGGACAACACGGTGATGGTGGGACCGCCAAGCGATCAAGGAAATTTTGGATCATAATGTCGTCGTCCCTTAGGATGGGGTTGCCTGCTCGGCCAAACGAGGGCCGAGCACAGCGTCTGGCAGATGCGAAATCTATGGGCGGCCTTCCTCGGCCTGTGAACCGGTCAACAAAGTCTCAAGGCGAACCTGGGCCTAGCAGTATAAATCGCACACCTTCCCAGACATCTACGTCTCGAATTCCTAGCCGGGTTCCTCAGCCAGGCTCAACTCGACCACAAGGCAGGCCACAAGCAACACCCAAGCTCTCACCAGCAAGACAGTCGACGTCTTGGGGCTCTGAGAGTACTAATGCGTCAGCGACCTCTAACTCACACACTCAAAGCGGATCCTCTTCATCAGCCTCTGCAAGATCCTATGAAAGCAGCCAAAGGCCTCCTAGGAATGTCTTGCGACGGAAAAAGTCCTTGGTATCCCAGACCCCGGCAAAGGCCTTTCAGGAACATCAAGCAATGGAACCACTTCTGCCCGCAGCTCGATTTGACGAGCCTATGGATGTTTCACTTGATACTTCTTTTGTTCAGCAATCGGATTACCAAACTGCCGAGGTGGACCTGATGCACTCTCTTGAACCTATGGAAGGCCTAACCCAATCGCCAGTTATCTACCCGGAGCTTGACAGATATCGCAATTATCGTGCCTACAATCCACCCTACGACGCATTTGCCGATGTTCCTTACAAGCTGTCAACCCACGACTTACCACCACCTACGCCAGTTAGCCTGCCATTTTCAGGAAGCAGTAGTCAATTAAGTGCAAGTCCGTCAACTAAATTTTCAGGATCTCCCGGGCCAGGATGGTACAGCCGCGAAACGACACCCACGTCAATTTCCTCGCACTCACCCGGGCTCACCATTCCGAATCGCGCCAATGTTTTCAAAGACCGTCAGTTCAGCCCAAACCAGACAAGACCTCCAGTGAGCCGATGGATGAGTGGGAGCAATGCAAGTGAGACCGACGCGGTGGACCCTCAAGGTCTGGCAGCTGTGAGAGAGTCTTTGAACTCATCCTCTTCCAGCTCCACTGTCAAGGATGGAGACAGGAACAACAAGGAGAAGAAGCAGAAACGGCGTTTACCTCCACCTCCCCCGAGTCCTCCTCCAAGGAAATCATCGCAAGGTTTTCGCCGGGACTCAGAAGATGGGGATGAGGCTCTTCAAACGCCACCACGAAAGTCAAACGTGAAGCGCCCCTCTGCTTCGCGCAACCCATCAAACATCCCATCGATTCCGCGCGCCGTCACTTCGCCAAATAAGCAGCCTGTCGCTCCTCGGCGACCCAGCCGAGACGGAACACCAGATTTCCAATCCCAGCTTCGAAGCCCTGTCCGAATCATCCATAGCAATCTTTCGTCTTCGTCTCTTCCAGGCGAGAGACGAGGAAGTACCTCTGAGGGTGTTCAGTCGCACTCAAAGACTAGGAACGCTTCCACGTCGCAGTTGCCCACGTCCCGCGAAATCAGCTCCGCACCCAAGCCTATCAATATACCAACCAAGGGCAAGACACGAGAAGACACAACTGACTCACTAAAGTCCTCAAGTGCACCTACATCTAGTGGAAGCTCATTTAGATTCCCTTTCTTTGGCCTTGGGCGTAAGAAGGCTGTCCAAAGTGGCGCTGATTCGAACGCTGAGTCAACCAAAAAGGAGGCGGACAAACGCCTCAAGCTTCCCCGCAAGGGCCCAGTTGCCGGTACTGGCCATGAAGGTTATGGGAGAGTAGGAAATATCCGCCGTCGTAGTGGAAGTGGCAGCCACTCTAGAACGGTTTCGGATCACCAACCGTCTCAGGACAGTCTGGGAAGCACAGACTCTTTCTTTGCTGATAGAATGAACCCGGTGGTAATTGCGGGAGGTGAGATAATTGAAAACCGCAATACCAGCTCAGAGCTTTCTCGAACTGAGAGCAACCAGAGTCTTGCTCTGAGCCAGAAGAGTTTTGACTCGGTTTCGGGGGCAGGAGACGCCATGATTTCTCGGCCAGATGTGCCAAATAGCCTACGGGTGCCTCGGCTTGGCCCAAGATCACGACGCCCTTCTGAGAGTAGCGATTCTGACAGTGGAAGCGTGAGGCCTACACTTGCATATCGTCGATCTGCTCATAAGCTCAGAGTATCCCCGGATAGCCCCATTAGCCTTCCTCAGCCGATCATTACAAGCGCCATGGCGCCGTCTCCCATGACCAGCTTTGACACCAGCATCATGTCTGACGAGTCGTTTGGGGATCTACAGCGCGAGATCTCTCATGATAGCGATGCGGGCTTCGGAGCTTCAAAGAGGCCGGTAAAACGCTCTCGATCACCCCGCAAGTGGAATTTATTTGGCAGATCACAAAGTCCAGCAAAGTTGAAGAAGGCCGACTCAAAGCCTCCTGCGCTTGAGCCTGTTCAAAACAAGTCCGTTGCCTTTTATGCAATGCTGGACTCTCCAGAGAAAGACAATTCTGAGGTCACAGACATTCGGGATATCCTTCGGACCGCCGAGGTTTTTACCCAATCTTCGACCTCCCTGGTTTTGGAACCACCCTCACCGAAAGAGGCATATGGCGACCTTCCATTGCCCGCTCCAGCTTTTATGTCAGACTACAACACCGGACTTCCTCCAGCCGGAGCCTCGCCATCTCTCAGCTCTGGCCGTCCAAGCCGCCTGAAGCAGGTCGGAAGAATACCCAGGGTGGTGAGCCATCGTCATGACCCTCCTCTGTCTCCTCACAGCTTTTCTCGTCCATTCCGCCGTAGCATGACCCTCAGCCCACAGGATTCTGTCGACTTGGATCCAAATTTTGTGGCTACAGGCCTGGAAACGCCAATAGAGCCACCTTCCGAGCCAGCAATAAATGCATTGACCACGGACGATGTTATGTCAATCGCCTCGCTAGCCGAATCAGCAGCCAAAAACTACCCCGCGTCTGGAAGTCAGGAAAGAGAATTCATCAGATTCTCTCCGCGGAAGAACTCCGAGTGCACAGTTGGGACAAGTTCTAGTTCCGGTGCATGTTCGTTCAATGATTCTACCGCCGTCATTCCGCAACCCAATAATCCGCCTACGGAGGATGAGATATGGGATGAGTACAATGATCTTCTTGGAGAAGGCGAAGACAACGCTATAAGGGTTCCTTCGTCGATAATCTCACCAAGAGCGGCCCCTTTTCCCCTGTCTCCTCACAAAGCCAATGCCCTCAGGGAGAAGCCAATGGAGTCACCCACAATCATAATGGACGGCCGTCAGCAGTCAACGTATTCGCTTGCACCAACAAACTCAAGCTGTTACAGCGCTGATATGACGGAGAGGATCCGAGCTGCATTTCAACCTCACGACAGCCCCGAACTTCCATCTGAGGAACTCCCTGCTCAAGAGGAAGAGGAGGGGAGTGAATCTTTGCCTTTAGAGAGGAGAGCAAGTGACAAAATGGTTCGCCATAGCTTGTCACCTGTACCAGAGCGAAATTCTGATTCCAGCTTCGGTTCCGCCGCTGATGATGGATCGCCTCTATCTCAGGTCAATCTTCGTGTTGGTTCTATGACTGTCAGCAAGTGGCTCACTTTCGGACACGTTCTATTCAGCGACGTTCGCCATGAACTGGTAAACAAGACGGGGTCTCTCCAGCGCCAAGGGGTGCTGGTGATCGATGGCCTTGGCAACGATGACTGGTCATTTTACGCCGCAGAGACATACCCACAGGCGAGCTTCTTCAACCTGTCTCCGCGCGCGCCTCTGCCGGCGGAGTTTCGAAACTCGTCCTCAAGTTTCCCTCTTAGCCCCCCCAATCATCACCAGATCCAGTACACCTCCGCATTGGACAAGTTTCCCTTTGCTCCCCAAAGCTTCACTGCTGTGGTCTACCGCTTCCCCATCGCTGCTCCAGAGTCTCACTACCGAAACATTCTCAGCGAGGCACGACGTGTTCTGAAGCCGGGTGGTTATCTTGAGCTCTCCATCCTCGACTTTGATCTCAACAACATGGGCCAGCTCGGCCGAAGGGCTGTCCGGCAGTTGAAGGAGCGGATACATGAATCAGACTGCGAAATGAACCTGGCGTCAACCGCAGATCTGATCGTTCGCCACATCGGGAGTGCGGGTTTTTCGAATATCAGGGCTGCTCGGGTTGGTGTTCCTGTGGCCAGTCCCATTTCCAAGATCAACGCTGGCGTCCATGTCAGCGATGAGAAGATAGGCACAGAGAAGAAAACCAAGAAGAGCCAACCTAGCCTCTCGGAGATGATGAGTGACAACAGCTCTACAGCGGATGAGAGCATCACCAAAATGGTGGCCCGTGTTGGGCGGTGGTGGTACACGCGCTGCTACGAAACCGCCATCGACCCAACAGCCACCGCAACTATCTGGAACGACAAGCAGCTCCTTAAAGAGTGCGAGCAACTTGGAACAAGCCTGAAGCTCATGGTATGCTGCGGCCGCGCTCCAGACCGAGTTTCCAGCATCTAACCGGTGCAACCCAACCGGCGTATATTACAAGCATATTTATTCATTTACTCATTTTGATTTTTGTTATCTGCATCATCAGCATGCTACATGGTTACAGGGCTCGCGCCCAAACAAAGAATGGTTCGAACTATACAGAAAAACGATTTACCTGCCGGCATCAGTACTTCATTCGATTCACCACCAACATATTACAATTTCACCGAGCCGCAGGACGGAGGACGACTGGATTTCTAGGACACCCATCGTCATTATTATACTACCTACTTTGGATACACGAAATTCACCGTCACGACATGGGGAACGTTTTCTTTGAGACGGAAAAAGGATACTAATTCCTAATGGGAGCCTCGCCAGCCTACTGGCGCGGCACAATGGCAGGTCATTAACCCAATTTTGCAATGGAAGGGGATGGCCTCTGGAGTGGAAAATAGGGCATAACGAAAGGAAATGACTCAACGATGATCAGGATAGCATTCTATGTTTGCATCATTGATACCCTCACACATGGATCCTGATTTTAGTTTTTTATGTATTGTCTGCGTTGCATTATATGAACAGCGAGCGTTTTCTCTTGAGTTTTACATTGTTCCATATTTGCTTCTGTGAAATGTTTGAGTGATCTTGTTCCTAAAGAGGGCACTATTCGGCCCAATTATTATTTTAAGCCACTCTCCCCAGGTTTATCATGATTTCCCGATCTATAATACAAACACAGGCTCATATCGTACATTAGTAAGGTATACACTAATATCACCCTACCTTTCATCACTCCTCTTCCACTTTCTCCTCCTCCTTAACGTCCTCCTTCTCAACCTCGCCCCTCGGCTTCAACCGCCTAAATACGGCAACGAACCCACCACCCAAAACCCGATCCCCAACCCTCGGCCGCATCACCTGCACGATCTCACCCCCCGAAGCGTCGTTCCTGGGCACGACGGTGCGCACGTCCCACGGGCGCCCGCCACCGCAGTCGTTCGCGGTCGGCTCGTCGGCGGCGACGTGGAAGGTGTTTGGGAGCTCGGCGGTGCGCTCGAGGCGGAGGGGCTGGCGGGTGGTGACGGCCCACTTGGCAAAGTCGGCGATCTGGGAGATGCTCGGGTTGAAGACGACGAGGAGGCCGTTGGGCTTGAGGGCGCGGACGACGGGGTCGGCGAAGGACTCCGGGGAGGGGAGGTCGAGGACGGCGCGGGAGAGGAAGGGGGCGCCGAGGGAGGAGGCGAGGCGCGGGGTCAGGTAGTCGTGGATGGAGCCGATGTGGAAGTCGACGTCCGGGAGGTAGATGGCGCGGCGGAAGCGGCGGAGGAGCTTGTACGCCGCGCGGGCGTGGGCGGGGTTGCGGTCGAGGGTGTGGAGGACCGCGCGACGGGAGGAGGACCACTGCGCGAGGTCGCTGGCGATGCTGGGGGCGACCTCGAGGCGGGAGAGGGTCATGGTCTGGATGGGGGTTTGTTGGTCCGCCGGCGGCGGCGCGGGCTTGCTCTCGACGTCGCTGGGGACGGGGCTGGGCGGCTCAGGCGTCGCCAGCCCGGAGTCGGTGGATGGCGAGACCTCGTTCTCATCCCTGGGGACGGGTTCGGCGAGCTGCTCGGGGCCGGATGTCTCAATCTCGGCATCGGCCACCGCCTCTCCACCCGGCGCCGGCGCCCTCCTCTCGAGACTCGCCGTGGCGACCGCGTCTCTCAGGTCCTTCCTCATGGGCGGGTTGGCGGCATGGAGCGCCCTGGCGATGTGCATCGTCAGGCTCCCCATGCCCGTCCCCGCCTCGAACACCTCGAACACCTCGTCGTCCGGCCCGTCGTTCTCCCCGGGCCGCTCGGGGTTGAGGTCCAGCATGGACACGATGACGCTGCAGTCCTGCGGGTATATGGGCGTAGCCATGCGCTCGCTGTTGACAATGTAGCTGGCCATGCTGGCCTCGTGGATGGCCACCTCGCGGCCGTCCGAGTCGGTCACGGTGTCGAGGTAGCGCTTGCCGATCAGGTCCTGCGCGCGGACGTGGGCGCCGTAGCTGAGCTTGACACGGTGGGATTCCTCGTTGCGCAGCGCGGGCGTCAGCTTCCATTTTGCCCTCTTGTCGCCTCGCTGGCGGAGGAGGACGACGTCATGCTCTGGGAGACGGGTCTGGGGTCAGCGGTGAAACACATTGCGCAACGCCCGTCACAGTCAAGCTCACCCTGAATCAAACGATCGCATGTGAACCATCTCCTCTGAGGAGGGACTCGGTGTACGGCTTGTCGCAAGCATTGGCTTGTAGCGGGAACCCTCATGGCGTTGGCTCGACGTTGGTCGCATGCTCATGAAGGCTAGTTGACACAGAAAAAAAGACAAGGCAGTGTGTCGGAGTTCGGCGATTTTTAGCTCCGGACTTGGCTCGGCGAATGGCAAAAGACCATTCGAACCGTTGCGCCACGACGAACCAGCACGCCGTTGCAACTCGTGTTAGCCAAATCTAATTCGCAGGAGGGCCGTTTGACATGGGATAATAAGTTTCTTTCGATATACTGAATCTCACGAAGGTATATACAACCGACCTTCCAGTCCAGCTGACAGACAACACCCCGGCACCCCCAAACTCCCACTCTGTCCTCTCCATATATCCAAATCCAGAGAACCTTTTATCTCCCTCGCTCTCGTGTGCCTCTACTAAGTGCCTCCATTCCAACGCCAGATATCCTATCCCGTAGTGTAATCATACAGTAAGATATGCATCCGCATAACAAAATAAAAGATAAAAAGAACGAAGTCCCATACATACGTCGCGGTGAAAAGAAGCTCCCAAACGCCAGCCATGAACGTATCGCAATCACATTAAAACCTTCGCTGGGTATCAAACCCAATCGTCCAGGCCGTTCACCGTTGTCTGTACCGTCCGCAAAATACAGTTCGCTTCGTAAATATCCACCTGATGTAACCCATCCCTCGCTCCAATAAAATGCAGCGACCAGATAAATACTCCCACCCCATAACATAGAAAACTCCGTGGTATAAGCGTCAAGAAAAGGATTTTAAATATCTTGCCTCTTTGGTTTATTTGGGCGCTCAGATCGTGTATGATTTTGTTCGAAAAAAAAAAAGGAATCTAGAGCCGCTGGGAAGGATAGAGCCAAGACCTTCAGAATCAGCTAGATGAATCCCCATTTGCTCGCGCCTCCCATGGGCTGGCTCATAGACTGGCTCATGGCGGAAGCCCAAGAATCCTGAGACTCCATCTCATGATCATGCAGGTGGTGGTCTTCTTCAAAGTAGGGGAGAACCTTGACTCCCACATGTTTCTCGAGTAGCTCGACGACCGAGTCGTATTGCCGGCGGCAACGCTTCGTCCAGGGGTCCACCTTCACGGGGCAGTGATAACAGAACGTGTTGGGGCGGGCATCCCGTACACGGAAAACCAGGTTCATCTTCTTCATCTCCTTCCAGAGGTCGTTTGCAGATTGCTTCGAGGCATCTGACTCGCTGTTGGCTGCATACAGCATCTGGGCTATCGCATAGCGGAGGGACATGAGGTCCCCATTATCGGCTCCAGCTTGCTGTTCCATCTGGCGGTGAAGAAGCCGTAATTCGAGAACCAGCTTTTCCAAGCGTTCCAAGTTTTTGTGGTCATACACCAAGGCAAGATCAATCAAGGTCCGAGTCACATATGGGTGTCGGTGTCCGTAAATGGCTTCGAGCTCATCCGCAATGAGAGGGGTGCTGGCCCAGAGCATATCCGACAATGTCACAGCACCGTGCTTCTGTTGCATCTCGTAAAGACAGGTAAAGATCTGTCGCAATGGGTGAGCTCGCTCATAATTCGTTGTGGAAGAGGCAGCCACGAATTTGCAAAGGGCAGTCATCAACCCCGGGTCTCTTCGGACCATTCCAAGAATCACCTCAATGATACCGAGTGGCGAAAGCTGCCTCAAGTCGACCTCGAGCTGGTTAAAAGCATTCATCAGAGACTTCCCGCCTTGTTCAACGTCGCCAGCCTCGAAGAAGAAGTTGGCTTCAGTCAGTGCGTCGCTCGAAGGCGCACCCCAAACCATGATAGAAGCCCATCCGACCTGGCGCTCAATCTCCAGTTCCACCTGTCGGCCCTGAAGGAAGGCTTTCCTCGTGTTGCCGACAATTAGTTCCTGCGCTCTCAAGAGATCAGGGGATTTGAGGTATTCTGGCGCAGGGGGCGGGGTCGGTGTCCGGCAGCGAACGTGAGAAGGAAGATCGGCAGGGAGTTCGAAGTCGACCAAATCATATTCCGTCACTCCCTTTCGCTTCAAGTAAGTACCCAGGTTAACAATCTTCCCGTTTCGAACAAACTCGGATACTTTGCCCTCGGCATCACGTTGGAATTTCATGGACAGCAAACGTTTGACTTCGTCCTCGGTGTTATTCTTCACAAAACCCCACTGCGAGAAGCGAGTCTTGTACATCTTGGGACTATCGTATTCCTGTGTAAGCACTAAAACCTGGTTGAGGTCACTGCGAAGGGGCCAATCTTACGTTGCCTGGAAATGGTACTTATCGGCCATGATAGACATGACCTCTTTGAGCGGCTTCCGCTGTTCCAGATAGAGATCGCGGATAGTGGTTTTAAATCCTTCCCAAGCCTCAGCAGGAACTTGCTCCCTAGAAGGCCGGTTCATGGGCGGAGCACGAGATGCAGCCAAATCGCCATTCATCATCTAATCCAGCACGTTAGATGACGGTCAAACAGAATACATACAAACACTACGCATAGAATAAACTTACCGAAAAACCAGTAGATGTCGAAGGGACTTCTGACATCAGGGGGGTGGAAGGCTCTTGCTTCACAGTTGTGCTGTAAGAAGAAGGGGCGGGTTTTGGCGCACGGGGCTTAGGTGGCTTGGCCGGTGCTTTGCCCTTGGTTTTGGAGCCAGGATTCAGCTCCAGGATGAACTGATTTCCAATTGGCATTGGTGGTTTCGGAGTCGTAGGGACAGGAGGTCGGAAATAGCCACTAGGACTGCTTGCTTGGCTAAATGGGGTTTTGGGATTAGGGTTGG